GAACAGCCAAGGAAAGACCGTGATGGCTTCGTCGATACTTTCTGGCAGTATCGCACACGCCGGTTTTCCTGGCTGACCCCAATGTGAGTAGCGCTCGTTCATTTCGTAGTTAGGCACATGCGAGTATTACGGAATACTACAAGGAAAGAATTCATTAACCACCGTATTACCTTAGTTGGTTGTTCGAAACTGCAAATTCTTAATGGATCGAAAAGATTTGTATTACAGCGAATCACGTTGCGACAGACATGACCGAATTTTTCGGAAATCTGGCGAACATCAAGAGCGCCTTCTGTCCTAAAATTCAAAGGTGAGCAACTACTGTATAGCTTCGATTTACGCAGAACTGAGCGCCAGGGAAAGATGATCAACAATCCTCTCACACACTGCGATCACGTTTTTTTGCACCAACAAGTGCTCGGCATGTCTTTACTGCTTGTAGCCAGGGTTTTTCAGGAAAGTAAAGGTGGCACACACTACCGAAAAGCTTTTATCTAATGTATACGAATTTGGGAACACGACTGGCAGATAAGTAGCTGGGCTGAGAATTCTTTTACGATATCTTGACATTTCTGAATTTCTGCAGAAATACCAAGTACGCCTGAGTCTATGTGCTGGATCTGTTGTTTCAAATTAATATAATTATCAGTTATTATGAACTGCTCATAATAATAGTAATTAATTAATTTATGCGTTGCACTTTCCTTCGGGCCAAAAACGTTCATTAACGTACTGTATGTTGCCGAGAGAATATGCGATGTTATGCAGTTCTACTACATAACATCGCATGAAGTTTTAGTGCAGCAGTTCTTTCAGTACTACTACTCGTAGACGTCGTAGTGCTAGTTTATTTCTTATAGGTACTTGTACCTGCTAGTACGTGTATCGACATATACCGTGGCGGAAACAGGAATTACTTATTACTGAATTTACTAACTATAGAGACTTAGTAACGATGGTACTTATTACTGTAAAATTATACAAACATTCCAAGTACGTACGTACGGTACGCAGTACAACCGATTAGGCTCAAAATAGAAGTCATTTCTATGCGTTGTAGGTGGTCGACTGGTCAGAACTTGACTCAAACTACTTAGCTGCTTCACAAATCGCCTGCTTCTGTCTCGGCTGCCATTTTAAGCGTTCGCGGTCCACAACGAGCTGAACCGCCGATGGGCATGCGCCGGTAGAAAACTAAGTACATCGTGTACAATCAGTGAATGCCAAAAGTGTGGCGAGCAAATTTATCGCAAATTCTTATTAACCGCATCTGTATGAAATCGTAGATTTAAGAACATGTTTCGGATGAGTGGATCACAGCAGTTTTCATTATTTTGATACATTCGTTTATCTGTTGGTCCACTCACACAACAACCGTCGCCGGTTGGTAACACCAGTTGAATTGAATAGTTCTAACTTACGGCAGTGCCTTTATACGTACGCCCGTGGCCAAATTTTAATTCGCCACATTCTATAAGTAAATGTGCAAGCACACGCTTTTTAAGAAGAACTATGCAAAAGCATACAAAATTACGCATAATATGCACAAGAAATTACGATAAAATACTGTACTTAATATTGTATTCTCTGCATTTTGTAATCTCGATTTCCGACGAGCTTGCCAGCACCAAGTTAGTTTTATGTCCTACGGACAAAATTTGTTGTGGCACGATAAATTCCAAGTTGTAATAATTAGTATTATGTTCAGGAGACCTCCTCGGCTTCGTTTGCAGAATTCAGAACCGCAGTGTTCTGCACTCAAACACCGTACTATTAGTTCTACATGACTAAAATCCGAAGAGGTATACGCCTGGCTGATCGAAATTCGGCCGCTCGGGCGATCAAGGAAATTGTCTTGACTTTGACTTTTGAGTTCTAGGCGACAAAATAGTCACAAAAGTAAGGTATTGTCATAGGCTTACAGTGATTGACATTTTTCCTGATAAGTAACAAAATTTCATAAGTTAGTTAACGAAATATCTACTCATATAAGCACCTGGGAAGAACTTAAGAAGAAAGGCGACTTTGTCGGAATCGCAGTTTCCGGACACAATCAGAATCCGAACATTCTAGTTCCAGTTGCACAAAATGCAGAATGGCTGAAAGGTTTTTCGAAACTACGGCAGTTGAAAACTGTACAGGAAACCTTCGATTTTTTTTGTGAATCCTAGTTTGAATACTTATGAACGTTAGTATACTGGCCGAAATGTATTGCATTGTGAGGCAGCCGCTGTATCCGGTCGAATTTTGAATTTACTTGGACAAACAACAATATTCACCGTACAACTAATTGGCTGGAAACATGGCATCGCACTTTCGCTATGCTGTTAATGAGGACCACCCCGGTATATATCAGCTCTTTAACCTGCTGTGCCGGGAAAATTGTTCATCAAAAAACGGAAGTCGTTGCACGCATGGCTGGTGCCGAGCCGAAGCATAAAAGAAAGTTCTTGGAGGTCACCAAACGGCACAAAAAACTTGCATCTAGCTATGGGCAGATGGATGCAGTCAATTACTCTAATTTTGCAATTAGTTCGGAAATTTTGTTGTAAAATCTGGTTGAAGTAACTGAGTGCAATAACCAAGTAATTATCGCTACAGTACATGCGGTAGCCAAGTAGTCAGGCGGACGAACCGCCGAAGTGTCAGGGAACCGTTAAATGTATAAGACTGTTGTGTCTTACTTTTACTGATGCCTTTGCATCTTTCGTGTTAATTACACTTGCAGATACATGCTGTAGCGCGGCTGAGAATTTTCAAAATTCTTAGAACCTCGTAGATAATTGGTTATGCTCAATGCATAGATAAATTAAGGTAACTGGTATGCGCCCCGACTTACGGGGCGCATAGGAGTTGGCTTCGAGCCCCAAATTTTCGGGCGCAAAGGATTCGGCTTTGTCCCCACAATATGGTTTTCGTTTTCTTAATAGTTACAAGCTGTATACACTTCAAATTATTGCCACCCTAAGTACATGCGCCGGTAGTTAAACCCACGGAAGTAAACGCCCATGAGCAGAAGCAGAACGAATGACAGCTCGGCCGCTGACAACGCTCAGCGATATGAGTGAATAATTCTAAGCTAACTCGAAACAAAAGAAAGAGGAGTTCCGACGAAAACCCTGACTGCCGCATATAATCGATAACGAAAAGGTAACAAATACGAGAAGCGTTGAACCACGAATCAGCATCGCTCTCGCAGAAGACGCTACAGGAAGCAATCCAGCTTCGGGTGACTCTTAAGTGTCCCATCTAAGAGAACTGGAAGAAAACGCGTCCGGGTTGCCTTTTCTGACCAGTTAATATTTGTTGCTTGTACTCTAAACGGGCAATTACATTGTATTTGTGACAAAGCTAAACTCGCACTGCCCAGACAGGAAGTTGTAATTTTTTGCTTTACGACCGTCTCCCTGGTCAGCTGCCGCTTGTACTTCAAACATTAAACTGTAAAACGTTTCGATAAGTTAAAGCACAGCAGTTATTAAATTAAGTACGTAGTTGCATCTGCATTAGCTGTTAACTTGCTGAAAGTTTTTTGGTTAGTTGTGCTAAAGGTTATTGGTTAAATTGCTTGCTGAAGGTTATTGCTTGTTGAAAGGTTGCTGAAGGTTAAAAGCTGAAAGCTTACTGAAAGTTAAAGGTTATTGCTTGCTGAAAGGTTATTGGTTAGTTGCAACTCGCAAGGTGTCATCGCGTCCAGTAATGTTTGTATTACTAGATAAAATGGATTTTCTTTCCAAATAATGATTTTACTTTAACTGGCTGTTAATGCAAAGTTGACTTACTTGCCTAACACGGACGGGTTACACGACGTCAATGTTCAGAAAAAGATACGAAACTCCACACTCCCTTCCGCAGGACAAAAGTCCAATATCCATCCCATGTTGGAGATAGAATTCTGGATTAAAAAGCAATTAAAATTTTCGATTAAACTTAGGAACATCTCCCATAGATACCGCATTAATATGTTTTACACTTTGCTTGCAAATTTCTTGTTGCGCCCGCATCAGAAAGTACTTAAGCATTAGGCATTGCGCGGAGTTGTCTTTCAGGATTTTATGACTGTGTTGCCATGGCGCCATGCATCAATACTGTCTGCATACAAATTTGTTTCTCCGGTAGACAGATACACCGATAAGGACAAAAGGTGCATATACAGCACTGCGATTTTTATCAATAACATAATACATATAAGTATACATAACCGTAAAGATCTTTAACAGCCTATTAATTTTTATTAGTGATGACATAAAAAACCTTTATGTATCGCAGTCTCCGATGTTCTAATTAGCACGTATTGTAAGTAATTACGTGAATATAATGACTAACACAATCAACCTCCTATTTACCTATTTTAACATAATATTATTTTACAAAATGAAGCAACATGTAGAGCAAATAAAAAAATTCTTTGATTTATTGTAATCAACCAAGCGGGCTCCATACTGCCGACCCGGTTCCGAAAAGCCTCATTTTTAAGAATGGATTCTTTGCTAAATAAGGCCTGCTTCCTTCTTACTTAATCCGTGCACATTGCCTATGCAGATCCCATAGGCTGCCATTAATTGATTTAGATTTTCGTACGAATCAGTGCTAAAATTGGAACCCTATTTTTTTACGAACACCATACGACGTGAGTACTGCGCATGTTATGTGGGAGCGCGGTCGAGATGTTAGGGAAGCGTTGTCTGAGTACTACGCAGAGACAAAATAAATGCAATCTTGCTATTAATTGGCACGAAAACCAATGAAAGCCGCATGTGAAAAACGTGCACTGTCGCGCTTCTTGTACTGCTGTTTATTACTGACAGCACTGCAAATATAATAATCTGCTATGATTTTAATCAAGAAAAATCCAAAATCAGTAACACCAGTTCAAGACTGCTCGCAATAACAGCAGTTATTGGCTTATACTGTCACAAAAAAGAAAACACAACTGTAACATCACAACACTGAGAGAAAAACTTTATATTAGAATTCGAACTATATATATACTCCACAAAGTCAATTCGATAGCCACCACTATAATACCAAAAGCGGAATCGCATTGCCCTTTGTCAAGCGATAGCGCGCGCAACAACCAACAATGAATATTCAATAAAACAAAAGAAATTACCAGTTTCTGAGAAACACCGTAGTCGACGGAGGAAACGAAGTCGCGTTTAATACGGAAATCACCAAGGAAGGCCGTGCTTTTTAGCATACGTTCTGACGTGATAGTCCTTCCAGGCATTGAAAGCCGCCGTCACCATGCCTGGCTGCAGTCCTTTCCCTCGGGCTGTCATGTGTACAGCCGAAAAATACGCTGTAACACAAAATTCAAATGTCGCCAGAAATTTCGTAAACAATATCGTTTATTGTTTTTGCAAACAAAATTTACCCTCAACCGCGACGATGAATGATTCCCCGAGAAGTGCCTTAATCCCCGGCTGGCTGTTGGGATTATGCGCGTTGTCGGCGATGAACTGCATCCGCTTCTCATACAGCAGCCGAATCCCATCGCCTTTGTAGTCGGCCGTCCCCTGGATCAGGTATCCCATTAGCATCTTTAGCCATTTCGAGGGAGTTTCTAATTTGCCGGCGACAACCAGTCGGGCATGCATCACTTCTTCGATCCAAATTGGATCACCAGGCATTTTTGAAACAAGCTCTATCTTTTTCGGCCCTTTAATTTTGAATGGAAACTTCATGAGGTGATCTAGAAAAAGTTACAAAGGCCGTGCTGTTTAGCATACGTTATTATCGTAGGCGGAGTTTAAGCGAGTCGCTTTAGAAATCTACCTTCGAGTCCTGCCTCAGCGATGGTGTCGCTTTTGCGGCTTTTGGTAGCTGGAAAACATCTCAACTTAGAAAAACCTTCAAGCCACAATAATAAATACTGAAAATAAATACCTCGTTGCGATTTCGCGTTTACAGGTTGGCCACTGTTGGTTTGTCGACTGTCATCGGAATCTGCAGTGTCGCTTTGTCCTGAAAACCGGAATAATTCAGTAACGAATTATTGGGTATGCAAGCAATACTTATGTACCAGCAGCGCGCTTAGATGGTGAAGGCGGAGGGACCGCGACACCGGAGGCGAAAACGCGTCCACCGCTAAGCTGATTGGACGAAGAGAGCGGACGCGTCATCGCTTTTTCCTTCAGTAAACCTAAGAAATCATATCTAAAATGACACACTTTGCACACAAGCGATACCGCAAATTTCGGCTTACTCATTGGAGTTAAATTGTTGCCACTAAATGCACTTTTTGAGGGTGGATACACTCTCGGCGCATTGGCTAAAGAAGAATAGTTTAATAGGTTTTTGAATAAAAGCGATCCGCTTACAAATGATTACTTACTTGGTTTCTTTTCCGCACCTGCATGGGACGCCGATGGAACGAGTGCATTTGCTGAAATGATTAAAACTCAAGTGTTAAACTTTACCGAGAGTTTTAAAACAGTACCCATGAGCGAAGTCGCTTGGGGCGCCGCAGGTGCCATATCCTTATCAGCATGATCGACATTGTCCGTCTCCTCAATCTCCTCAGCAGCTTCAACCGAGTGAGTGTCCGCGGTTTCTAAAGTTAAACCGCAAAGATTTTATCATAAAACAGATAAACACAAATTTAAAATGTTGCATAAAAATACCTGGATCGTAATCAGCAGAAGGATCGGCAATATCATCTTTAAAATTAAAAATTAATAAAATGAACTGTGAAAGAAATCCAAAATTTACCGTCAAGAACGATAACGTTTGACACATTCTGAAGATCCGCTGACAATAGCTTCTGGGCCTTCTTTTGCGAGTTCGCATTTTCTACTGCTGAACCTTTTTTCTGAAGCTGAAAAATCCCTGAAGTAAGACTAAGAGCAAGACGCGCAGTTCGCTAATGTTCGCTCACTCTCCAACAGTAGTCTAATTAAGGCGATATCGCTTAAAACTCAGTACACCAACTCATCGATGCGAATGCCATACAGATTTTCGCTACTCAAAACCCTGTTTTGTACCTGATCCTGTTGCTGAATAAACTGAACTTGCTCGTCTGCGTCTTCTTGGTTGTTTGTGATGTACAGGACGCTGGCATCGTAAAAAACTGACGTATGTTCAGCCTGCAGATGAGTTCCGGGGCGAAACGGGAACTTATACATGTTGCCCGGAGTGGCTTTAAAGCGTTCATCGCTTGCTGGCCAGAAGAGGACAAGATCGTCCACTGCGAATCGCACGACGATAATATCTGCAAAAATGCGTTCGCGCACAACTTAATGTCGTACTAAAAAAAATGTGTACCTTGATTTTGTTCGTGCGATCCAAGAGCGCTTTTGAACGACTGGATCGGAGAGATCGCAGTGGTGGTACTAAGAGGCGATTCCGCTTGTGGCTGAGAAGCAGCACCACGACCACGGCCGCGACCTCCGCGTGTTCCTCGTGTTCCCCGTGTTCCTCGAGTTTTGCGGCCGCCTCTAGCCCCGCGGTCAGACATTTTCTGTAGAATAAAGTTAAAAGTTACTATTTTAATGTTTGTTTTAGTCGTACTTAGCCGTAAGAATTTCAGATAAAGTCAGAAAACGTATGCTCAGAAATTTGAAAACAACTCTTCAGTTGTTCAAACTGAAACTGTTCTGCGTGTTGGTATCGCAACCAGGAAATGAAGCTGCGAGCTCATTTCTGAATCGAACTGAGTGTGGCCCACCTTCAATCCAATCAAATTTGTTTTCTTGACACGTAACCAATAGCAAATAGCATAATACAGTAATCATGTTGAACTGGTCACTCGCAAAAATCTTCCAGGCGATCTTCGCATCAAACTTTTATTCGTTTTCAGTTTGAAGTATTTATTTAAAGTAACTGTTTTTTTTAAAATTTTCTTTTTACAGATTTTGCGAAAGCGCATAGTTTAACAGTTAGTTGTCATATGCTTGCGCGAGTTCGCGTTACTTGGCAGTAAATGGCTAAGCGGCGGGGCTATGGCCGTTACCCGTTGGGCGATTACGGAAATTTTATCGTCCCAAAGACCACGAAGTATCGCTGGCGATTGCGCTCAGGCAATGAAGAGAACATGGATGTTGTCGACGGAGCCTGTGCCGCTGATTCTGACTTTGAAGAACCACCAACGGACATTTTGGAATGCGATGTCGCAAGGTAAGCGATTGCTGGAGTTAGTTTCTTGGCGTTTCTTCCAAAAAAAATCAAAATATTGCGTATTATTGGCAGCTGTGACGGAGAACCAGAGTCGTTCCCTGTGTGGACGAAGAATTGGATAGTGACGTTGTTGTTACCGCAGAAGCGAAATCGCATCCTCTTAGCTTGGAAGAGCAGAATTATCTGTTAATTACCATGCGAAAATGGCAAAGATTTTTCAACACAAAAACGCAGCTGGAGGCGGAGCTAGAAGTTGTGCATTCCTTGTTCGAGCTGTTAGCCGGAGATGCAAACATTCAGTTCCCACCGAATCTGTATTTTTTGGAGAAATTATTTCGCAGTGTGGAAGCGTTCTCGCATGAAGTGTCGTATTACTATTTTTGCCCTACGCACCATTGCATTGTCGGAACTCGGACGGCGAGCGAGAAAACCAACGTGGACTTTGTGTGCAATGGGATAACTCGAACTGGTCGACGGCCGCACAAAATTGCACTCTGTGATTTACACCAAAATTGCCTTCTCGTGATGGACCTTGAGGAGCAAGTTCGCAAATTTTTGGAAGACCATGCACAAGAGCTGAAATCCGTTTTGGCAGAAAGGAAGCGATATCGCTCACAGTCTTCTCGTGGATCAACCGAGTTTAACAAACGGTAAATTTTATCGCGACAAAAATTTTGACGATGACGTGGTGACGATATTGGCTCACATGGACGGATTTGCGCTGACAAATTCGTCTGATTTAAAAGGACATGTTGTGCAGTTTGTATTTGCGGATTTTCCTGGAAGAAAGCGATTCCGCTCTTTAATCCTGCACAGTATATATATCGGCAACGCGACAAAGTTTCCGCATCGTAAAGTTATCCTGCGTCCTTTTTTATCCCAGTTAATTAAGTTATCAACTGAAGGGATGTTGGTGAATTTATCGGAGAGCAGAAGCGGATCCGCGTCATATTGACAGCTGTGGTGGCAGACACTATGGAGCGGCTTCCGCTTGCCGGTATTGGATCCATACATGCCTACGTTGGCGGATGCACATACTGCAAAGCAACTCCTGTGCACAGGGAAAACCGCCAGGTCTACATTTATGCGACTTCGCATCAGGCGCCGCTCCGAAATGATGCGGAAATTCGCAGTCTCGCTAAAGACATTATGCAGTACTCCGTGGAGCATCGCGAGAAGGCTAAAAAGGACAAGATTTACACAGGAATTTGCGAAAGTCGCCATTGGAAGTTGTTCCCCATTTTGACCCGGCTCGTGCCTTCCCGGTCGACATCATGCATAATTGCTGCAAAGGTGTTGCACCGCAAATCTATTTTGCGTGCAATGTAACCAAAAGCGGAATCGCATCAATAAATGAACGGGGGAACGAGCTAGATTTTCCTGCTGTTGTATCCCGGAAATTTCGAGGGTTTAACGAAGCGTCTAAACTGAATGCAAACGAATGGAGGGATATACTGTACACCGGCATTTATTTGTTCCACAATGTTTTTACATTGGAAGAGTTCGAAGTTTGGTGTCTGTACTGCAGTACGGCTACGCGAGCCTTTCAAGATGCGATATCGCATGAAGATACCGAATGTATTGACAAGGAAGCGAACGATTTTTGGAAAAAAGCCGAGGAAGTTTTCGGGGAAGACTTCATGCCCTACAACGTCCACCTGACACTCCATCTTGGACAGTCTTGTCCCGATTTTGGAACGGCGGCCGGATACAGCGCGTTTCCTTTCGAAGGAAATATCGGATGCATCGAGCGGAACATTCATGGTTACAATCAGGTACCACGCGAGATCGCTAATTCGATCAGATTATGCAAAATTGCGGAAAGCTTAGCAGAAAATTTGGCGCGGCAGCCACTCGACCTAATGACGCCACGCGTGCTGCGTGTGTTAGAAAATAACAGTTCAGCAAACCTGTATGCGACTGCTTTTAATGCTGGTAGCTGTTATCTTATCGGAAATGCGAAGTCGCATAAAGTCATTGCCAGCGAATGCTATTCAGCTTGGAAGACTTTGCAAAATTATGCTACGGAACGTCATCTGTGCCTGGATAACGTGGATCATGCAGTTCATTCGAAAATCATAGTAAAAGGGTTTGTGCCGGACAGCAACGAGTCCGTGCGTGATCACTTTGCGAACGCTTTATTTTACTGCCGTGGCGGTAATTTTTGGCGATTCCGCTTTGCCGTCCACCTTGCTGGCTCCGTTGTATTGCTTTGTGAGAAAAGCGAAATCGCTTCACAGAAGATCTACAATTTATAGTGGACGCTGCCAGCACACAAGTTATATAATTGGAAAAGCGAGTACGCTGTCGTGACGGCTGATATGTTTTCTGGTGTTCCTCTTGAGATGCCGTACGACGACGACGAAACGCTGAAGATTGGCGCGATGTTGCCCCGATTATTATATTATTACGATTAATTTATCTTTGTTGCTGATTTAATTTTTTGTGTAATTAAACTGTTAATTTGTTTCTTTCTTTCATAACGGTATGACGTTTATATCCGTATTCCGAATCATTTTTGTTTTTTATTAGAACTTTGATGTTTCTTTGGAGTGCGTTCGTATGTCAAGAAATTTAATTAAAATAAAATGAGCGTCATCCGTACAGCTTGTCAACAACACAAAACAATTCCATAAGAGCAATATAAAAGAATGCATTTCAGCATGCCCATGACATGCAAGACTGCAAGTCTAACAACTAACATAAGATCCTTTCAGGAAAGTCACTTTTCAGATGACTACAAAGTTGCTCAATATACTAGTACAAAACAAATCAATATGGAGATCTTCATTTCAGTTCACAACAACGAAGCGACATCGCTTAATCGTCAAAAGTCAAAAGAAGATCCCCGTTACTCTATCAGCATTAAAAGCTGCGAGGAAACGCGAGATCGCTTAGGCGCGAGCGACAACAAAAGTCAAAACAAAGTTGTTGCCGGATCCATACACTTTAATCCCAGAGCGCATGTACTCATTGCGCCATCCGTGCAGCACATTAAGCGAAGTAGCGCTCAAACCCAGCCGCACTCCGCGAATACCTTGCGGAAAGTTAACAGACGGCTTCCTACAAAGCAGCCTGTTTGAAAACAAAACAGTAATCCGCAAATAAACTATAAAAATATTTACTTTCGATTAGCGAAATGAACGCGATTTGCTTTGAAGCAGTTGATGGAGGGATCGGCCAAATAGCACTGTTCATCACATGCCGTAGCACCACGTATAATCCACAGCTGGCCGCAGTCCACGCAGTCATCAAACAGGTTCTAAAGAAAAAGCGTATTCAAAAAGCGATAGCGCTTAATCAGACAGTAATCCGCCACATGTCCATGAAAAAGCGAAATCGCTTAAAAACAACGTAACTTTACCTCTACAGCCAAATGCTCATCAATCAGGTGTTGATTCAGGCCGTCTACAGAAAACATCGTGTCGCAGTATCCCCGATCACTGTCGCCACGATAATTTCCCGGATGCTGATTGCGAGCCACCTTGTAGTAGAAGGGGCAGCGATAACGCTTCTCAGTAGCGCTAAAAAATCAAGCAACATTGCTTTAATTTTATTAAAAACCATATTATTGTTTTCAAAATAAGAGCAAAGCGAATACGCACACGTTAGAAAAACTGCGCTGCGCCCTAGCATAGCGATGGACAATTTTCCGGGCCCGATCAACATCGGACAAGTCAATTCCGCCCCCATTTGGAATAAACATCCGGTAGTTCCAGCTCTCTGGTTCCAAATGATAGGACAGGGCGTCCCCAGCAACCTTGACCGTTCCAGGCACTCCGCCCATCCGAAACATCGGTCCAATGATGGACATCTTTCCCGCCGCCAGAAGTGTGGCAAACCATTGAGTTAGGTATTCCGAGCAACCCTGCGATGCCGCTTCTGATTTCTCAGCGCAAGGATTCAATGCGATATCGCATATTTTTCCAGGATTCCCATTATTCCGCGCAACAAACCTTAAAAAATTTTCACACATCACATTATTTTCAGATTAAAAACGAAAAATTATACGGACAGTATTTTAAGCCATTAAAATCCAACTAATATAATACATGAAAATTAAAATCTGAATAGAAATGAACGTCAGAATAATATCGGAAAAATAAAAAATATTCATGAATTCAGTCATCGGACAATCATATTATTTTAATAAGAGGTGAATAACTTACGAAGCGAAGTCGCATACTGCCTTGCATCCCATATTGCGGATGATCTTATATCCTAACTCCTCGAATGCGTCCGGTGGGATGAGGTACTCTTCGCTATAACTAAATGGCCCACAAAATAAAGCGAGATCGCGTTCGTACTCAGTACTGGCAGTGTTTTTACTCACCCATAAATATCCGCCAGAATCTGCAGTCCCAGCAGATCGATGCGACTGATGCTTTTCTCCTTCATCAAGGTGAAGGACGTCTCCTCCGCCAGGCATCCACGGAATAATGTCGGGCAATACTGCTTCACAATCCGGAGAGAAAGACAGATGACAGTGAACGGCTGCGGGAGCCCTGCTGCTTGAATGCGATTTCGCATATTTGCGGTTGTCAGTACAGTATCTCCTGCAACAGTGAACCCGTCGTCTGGATACCACACTGTATCCATTTCAGAGCTGTTTGATGGAAACTAGATGTAGAAATTAAATGAATAAAACAGTCACAAAGTTTTTCAGTAGGAAAAAGGAAAACAGTAATCACATTCAAACAACTGCACGCAAGAATGAGAACTGAAAATTGAAAATATGGGTTTTCACGTTCTGAATTTGCGAGCTCGCGCTTGCCGGTGTCAACCGCACGGAAAACTTCACGTAGCGGCAATAGCAAAATCATAGGCGACCGACAAGCTTGAACATTTTGGCCCTGGTAGCCTGCGATTTGTTCCACAGCGGACACATGCGCAGCCGCACGAGCTGCAGCTTAGCTGCTTGTACGCAGTTTCCGCCAAATTGGGGAGCCAATCGGCCCACAAACGATAATTCTGAAAAAGGCTTTCGGAACCGGGCGAAGATTTATAGTACGTGCACTGAGCGCCAAGGAACTGCAACTGTAGAATCGTTGTTACGTAGCATAAACATGCTCTCTTCTACAGTCATATTTAACGAAGTATCCTCCTGAGGCAAATTTGGTCTTCTTGATAATTTCCGCACTGGGCAAGCAAAAGGATGTCAATTTTCGACATCCGAAATTCTGTTCAGAACGGAAACCATAAAATTTGTTGAATACCAATATTAATTTAGTGGCCTTAAACCGCTTATTCTACCTAGATTGGAAAGCCACACTGCTATAATCGACCGGAGCGAAGCGAAGGTCCTCTTAATTCAAGACCAATGCATTCGTTGATTTCTGTCCGTTACGGAAATTCGTTACGGAAGTGCGTTACGGACGTAAAAGTATGACGTCATCGCAGCCGACAGCAGTGATGTCATCGCTGGCACCATGACTTAAGGGCCCTATAGAGGGGCATTGCAGCCGTTGATTTCTGTCCGTTACGAGCCTACGTTACGAAAGTAACAACGTGACGTCACGGCGGGACTCAGTATGTCACGCAGCTGACCGCTATGACGTCACTGCAGGTGTTGTGTATGACGTCATGGGTAACTCATCTGACTGCTGGTCGCAGCGGATTCATACAGTGGTACTGCAGCGCTTTATTCTGTCAATTGCAATTCGTTACGGAAATACGTAGTTGCCGCAGGTAACCGCCGTGATGTCATTGTTGGGTGTTGTTCTGTTGCGGACCGAGGCGGAAGTTCTGGCAGTAATAATTTTGTTCGTTACGCAAGAAACGCACTAACGAAGAACTGTCGATGTGCAAATAAATCTCATGTATTTGCACACACGAGTGACCGGCAACAATGACCACGGCAAAAATATCTCCACTGGCGATGTTTGGTGTCTCCTAAGATACCATCGTTGAAATAGCAATCTTTTGGTAATAATGTGCGATATCAAGGAGCTGCATGATAAAACCTTGGTGATTTGATTCTTCTTCTGCCAATTAGAAGATCAAAACTCATAACTGCACTTCTATACCCGTGGTTATTATTGACTTCATAAAATATTTTTCAAAATACCGTTTTATCTCTAAAGGTCGCGTGTTCAAAATTTTTATGCAAAGCTCGGGAAATTTGCGACTTCTACAACCAAGTAGCTTAACAGCAATAACACACTACCTCCACTGCCCGATCTTTGCAGTCCACGTGTGCAACCGAAATAACCCTGGGGTTTCGTGTAACCAGAGCACATAGGCATCCTCCAAATTCAAAAATTCTCATGTTTTATAAAATGGTAGTGTACTATTGTAGTATGCTTAAAAAAATATTCTTATCTGCCATCGTCAAAGGGCCGTGGCCATACAACAATTAAAAGTTTGCATGCAATCATTGTGTAATGCAGTGCTGTACAGGTTATTCGTAATTTTATTATGATTGTTACCTTTTTGCTGCATCACCGTGGACTTTTACAGCCGTCGAGTAATGACGCAAAACAAGCCAACTTGCGGCGGCTGCAAAAGTCCACGGTGATGCAGTAAAAAGGTAACATAATATAATTACGAATAACCTTTACTGCACTGCATTGCACAGTGATTGTATGCAAACTTTTAATTGTTGAATGGCCACGCCCCCTTGACGATGGCAGATAAAAATATTTTTTTAAGCATACTATAATAGTAAGTAGTAATTACACTACCATTTTACAAAATATGAGAATTTTTTGAATTTGGAGGATGCCTATGTGCCCTGGTTACTGTTTTTTACGTTCTAAAACTGAAGTCCTGTCGGCTTCTTATTATTTCTCCCTTCTTGACCGCTTGTTTCAAAACGATATCTCTTAACCATTCTAGCGCCAATAGGGTTTTCGGACAAACTACTTTTAAAAAGCCTTAAAAAACGTTGTAAAAATAATTTTGTTTGTTATTTTGTCATACCTTAAGGCTCAGTTTTTGAATGTAAGATTTAGCTTTATCTTTTTCATTTAAAGCCAACGAAATTTTACCAGTTGCTCTCCTGCGTCATGAGGGAGACTTTTATCCGTACGAGTATTCGAACTGCCTCAGCCGTAACTGTCAACACTTACTAACCCCTTTATAGAAAATAAACGACAGAAACGTTTTATTGGACAATTTTTTCGTAGTGGACATTTCGTCGCATTAACCTCGCTCCGGTCTGCCAATGCACGCCAAACGTGCATTTTTCTAGTTTTATTAGTACATCCGAAGCTGTCGTAGACATCTGTTTTTGTGTTTACCTAGGTAGGAAACAGTCATTAAAGAGAGAGTAAGTAAATTTTTTGCAGAATTTAATGCTAATGATAATGATACTATTTTAATAATTAGACAAGTCACAAAGCTTTGTGGAAATGATTGAGGAATATATCGTATTTGACAGAAAGTCTGCGAGCCATTCAGACGATACAGTTAATGCCAGACAGAAAAAATTTAAACTTTTGATACTAAACCTGTGGCTGTTATGCGCGAAACACAAATTCTAGCCATTTTGTTTCTCGTAGGCAGCATAGGATCTGTGCGCATAACCGTTATTTAACCATGCTTAAGTCTATGGAAAAAGAAAATGGCTAGAATTTGTGTTTTTCGCCATAAACAGCCACAGGTTTAGTATCAAAAGTTAAAATTTTTCATACCTTGATATGCAAATCAGTATATTTTGCACTTGATATTCACGGAGCGCAGCGTATTAAAGTAGTAGATAACGTCCGTTTTAGTGGTGGCATCGTTGCGAGGTTATTTTGAACCGCGGACCACTGATCGTTCAACTCTTTTTGTCGTACATTGTAAATGCCTCACGGTACAGAACATTCTAAAACGGCACTATCATTTCGGAAACCATTCATTTTGAAACCATTCATTTCGGAAATCATTCATTTCGTAAACCATGCATTTTCAACACTTTTCCTTTACAGTTAGTCACAGAAAAGTAAAACGTTATTTCGGCCATTATTGTACAGAAACAATTATACAACCAAATTGTCACGCAAAAAAAGCATTTGGGATCTTTTTCATAAACTTTACGTACTGTACTGAATTGACAATTGCCATGTCGACGGTTCGGTTTGCTTGTGTTGGGTTACAATGAGAGCACGAATTACTGTAACTGCATCATAATCGCGCTCACAATCAGCAATGTTACCCGCATTTAGCGACTGTTAGTGCGCACGATCGAACACCGATTCATGAGTGCATGAGGCTACGGTCCCCTCCTTTTAGATCAGATGGCGGTGACCGACGAATGGACATCACGTTTCTAGATAGGACCTTCGCTACGCTTCGGTCGAATATTACAGTATATAGTCTATGCATCTTTTTAACCGCTTATTAAATTCAAAAAACAAATGTTTGTTTTAATACTGCCGGCAATGCGTGTGTTTGTTTTTTTTTCGCGCAGAAATTCAAGGCCATTATGACGATCGGCACATGCGTCGCCGTGCCCGGCGACGGATCACGATTCGCCGTTGAGCGGCTCGTGAATTTTACAAACGCAGCATATAAGCAGATTTTAAATGGAAAGGTAAGGTAGTGAAATGCGCATATGTGTAATTCTGCTTTTGATAAATACGCGCTTGTAACGTTTTCGATGCGACGTCTTACTGCTTCTTGCCAACGGTTTGGAGCCGGCTTCTTCTTTTATTTCTCCTCGTTTCTGGATGACAAACAGAGTATTACATATATGTTTTAGTTGTGTCATATACAGCAATAAAATGTCTACTTTTTTCTATTCTGTTTTGCCAAAATCACCCGGAAGTGTCATGTGTTCTGAGCCGAAAAATAAGGACATTTGTGGTGACTAGAGTGATGAAGAAAATTAATTTCTGGCGTGCAGTAAATATGCTGCATTGGGCGCTAGGTGGAGGATTCACCAGGTTAGCTGCAAAGCAAAACATCCGAATCAAAAAACAGAAAAAAATTTGCGGGCTCAGCTAAACTATGTAGCGGTCGAAGCGCTAATTTTCTTACACGAACTACAAAAGGCATTATAAAGAAACCTAGAAACCTTCCGTCGTTAGTAGATAAAATTTAATTTTATACATTTCTAAATATAGCATTCGCTCTATTTTGGCTACATGGGGGCGCGCAGGATCCCTTTCAGACAGGTGTTTTTTGTGACGAAAACCAGAAAGGAAAAATCGGTAGCTTTAGAAAATTTGAACTAAAAAAGTGAAAAATGAGGAAAATGTTATGTGAATTCTACATGCTCGATTTTCTCAAGAAAATCGAACAGATAGAATTGACATTAACAGGCGTAATGCGGAATAAAATAAATGAAGTATAAATAAAAAAATAAAATAACGAAATTAGGATAAACATAACACATTCTCCTGGGAGTACTGCCAGTCTATGATAGTTTTCAAGTTCTTGAATGATAGTTTTCAAGTTTTCAAGTTCATTCCGCTCTGTCATGCTAGCTGAGACAGTCTTCTTTTAATTTCGATGCTGGCCTATGTACAGATACATAAAAGTACTAATAAAAGAACAGCTAGAAATGCTATACCCGGCTACGAATAAGACAGCAGAAACCGTACAGGTCCGTATTTACCTGATTACATAGTTACGTGTGAAAACTGAATGCTGATTACAGGGCCCGTACACTGCCAGTCCCTAAAAACCCGTTCAAAAACTAACAAGGAAAAAAATAACTGTTATCCAGTATATGAAAAGTCAACCAGTTCCACAACGAAAACTCAAACAATTTCATTTCATTCGCTA